TTGTTTTCCATTGCTCACTGGAAAATTTAGTTTATATCAGCTTGGAGATTTACTGTGTCCTCAATGGGTGAGTCTCGTGCAGATTCTAGTATTGTCTGCAATGGATCACACGGTTATTCTGACAATATATTGGTTAATTTAGCTATACATTGGCAATTTTGACAATATTTTGGTTACTTTTCAATACATTGGCTATAATTGCTACACACTGGCTACTCTGGCAATACATTGGTTATTTTAGCTACAATATTTTTCTACATTGGCTATACATCGACTACTCTGGTATTCACTAGCTAAACTGACTCTATCTAGCTATCTTGGCTATGCATTATCAATACAACGGTTATTAAACGACCTGCCTAACATTTGCCAACAGGCTTGCTGCAGTGTTACTAGTCTCGCCATACACGTAACTGCCCCTCAAGCATACACTTGGCAGGCTCACCCTGGATAAACTCCTTGCTAAGATTCACGTGAAGACTTCTCGTTATGTATCACCATAGGGAGTTCATGAAGTGGTTAGAGCTGTATGGCCCTTGTGTATTTAGCGCTTAATTTTGATAATAATAATAAAGTGGTTGGCAGATTTTTTGCTCCTCCAAAATTTCATTATTCTATTACTCGTAGCACGAGAAAGCTTCAACCGCTCGGCTTCAAATTTCCAAAGATAGTGTACGGTAACTAGGGCAAGATTCTTAGAACAATTGACTCCAATAACTTTAAAAAAAAATCACATTAAAAAAAATAAAAAGATACCTTTCTAATCTGACGATGTCTGAGAGTGTAAATCAAGTTTGAAGGAACAACATAAACCAATTCCATGTATAAAATGCTGATAAATTTGCATTCCTGTTAATTCAGGTTAAATATTCTTGAGTTTGTCTCTGCTGAAAGGCTTCAAAATTTAATGGCTGGTGCACCTTAGGGCCAGGATAGTGGCCATTATTTTCAGTTTGTGTTTGGGAAAATTTGCCAGTATACTAAATTAGTGAAAATAAAAACTTCGTTCATCCGTGTGATAGCTGTTAAATGCCTCTCCTGATCGGGTTTAAACCTTTGTGTGTTTAAGAGAAAACAAAGTGAGCAATAATTTCTGAGCTCCTCATCTGGCTGAATTCGACTGAGTCAGCTTAACAATGCTACTTTAGAACGGTTTCAAACTTAACGTGCTGGTGTATTTTAAAAAACTGATCTTCAAAACTGATTTCTTTGAGGAAGCTTCAAAATACTTTGAGAATTTTTTGTTCTAATTTGCCATTTAATTGACGGAATTGGGATATTAATGTCCATGTGACAGCCTTGAAAACCCAAGGTTAGGTTAGGTAAGGTTCGTCAGGAAACAGAACAAAAGCTCCAACAAGTGTTGGAGCTTTTGGTCATCTGACCGAGGCCTTCCGCTGGCTTACCCCTCCACCCCAATTATGATCATAGGTACAACTTTTTTTTTTTTTGAAAACCAAATTTGATTAGCTTCAAAGCCTTAGCACTAATATTTATATGCATTAGAAACTTATGCAGTAGTCTACACTAGTACCTCTGCATGCATTGAGGGAGGTAACTCATGCAGTGCAGGAAAAGCTTTCTCGGATCGTGCAACGATTGAAATGCATCTAGTTACCCACTGCTTTCACCAGATATACATAACTTCTTTCATCAGATATACATAACTTCTTTCATCAGATATACATAACTTCTTTCATCAGATATACATAACTTCTTTCATCAGATATACATAACTTCTTTCATCAGATATACATAACTTCTTTCATCAGATATACATAACTTCTTTCATCAGATATACATAACTTCTTTCATCAGATATACATAACTTCTTTCATCAGATATACATAACTTCTTTCATCAGATATACATAACTTCTTTCATCAGATATACATAACTTCTTTCAACAACCAGATATACATAACTTCTTTCATCAGATATACATAACTTCTTTCACTCAGATATACATAACTTCTTTCATCAGATATACATAACTTCTTTCATCAGATATACATAACTTCTTTCACCAGATATACATAACTTCTTTCATCAGATATACATAACTTCTTTCATCAGATATACGTAACGGAAGATAGCCAGATACACGTGACTGGCTATCACTGGCTCTCTCCTTCCACAGATATAGAGATATCAGATGTTATTGGCTGTTTCCTTTCTCCTTTTGTTGCCTGTTCTCCTCCTCTCCTTCCATACATAACGCGCGCGGCAGTTTACTATTGGTCACAATATTTGTGAATAGAGAAGAAGAGAAGAGGCAGAGGTAACTCAAAGAAAGATGGAGAGTATATACGTTGGAGGCAGAGTATATACGTTGGAGACAGAGTATATACGTTGGAGACAGAGTATATACGTTGGAGGCAGAGTATATACGTTGGAGGCAGAGTATATACGTTGGAGGCAGAGTATATACTTGGAGCAGAGTATATAACTTTAAGCAGATATATACATTCTTGATGACAGATTATAACGTAAGGAAGGCCAGATAAGTGATTATACTGGCTACCCAGAGATTATTGGAGACAGATATATGTTGGGCTGTATATACGTTTCGATTGTTGCATGTTTGCCTCCGATTACTTGAACAGTAAGTCGGAGTACTATGGTCACAATATTGGATAGAGAAGAAGAGAGCAGACGGTGGAGACAAGAAGAGTGGAGAGTATATACGTTGGAGGCAGAGTATATACGTTGGAGGCAGAGTATATACGTTGGAGCGAGAATATACGTTGGACAGGGAATGTGAAGATCAGAGTGTCTGTTGTACGAGAGAGATTCTGCACCTTGCGAACAACGATCGGGATACCGTTTGTCCGAACATGCAAGAATTGAAGGGTAAACCTTTGTCCGAACAGCAAGAATGAGGGGTACCTTTCTCCGAACAGCAAGATTGAAAATTGATTTTTTCTGAACAGTAAGACCCAAGAACCATTTTGTCCCTTAGCTCGATCGCAGCGCACTCAGCTCACAAAACTGAGTCCGGAGATCGATCCCCGGCACGGCTGGAACAACACAGGACCTGTTCCACCATCAACTAATTCCATGTCAATTCTCATGAAAAGGTACGGGTGTCTAGCCGAAAATGGAATCGCAGCATTTGGTACAAAAAGACTCAGTATGCCAGAAATGCTCTGCATGAGGCAATATTATAGTGTGTGACATGATTCAGGCTGGAACTGTATGTGTACATCTTGTACCTGAAATAAAGATTTACTTCATCATTGTTTCATTATAACTGTTATTTGTAACATTATTATTATTAATTATTGTAATTATATTAAATGATGATATTGTTATTATCTATTATTATATATTATTTTGATTATTCCTTGGTTATTATTATATTATTATTCATATTATTATGATTATTATTATTATTCTGATTGTATATTACTTTCTGTATATATTATATTGAGTTATGTTTTTTGGTATTGTATTATTAGTAATTATTGTTATTTAGTTAATGTAGGAAAAGTTTTAGGTGTATTTTCGAATCGTGATGGGATACCTGTGCATACGAACAAAAGTTCACCTAATCTTGCACAAATGGTTGCAAAGGTCAGTACCTATTCTGACATAAAATTCATGCAAATTGTCCGAACAGTCAAACATGTGCAGTCTTATCGATACCATTTTAAAGCAAGCAGGTTTTGTCCGACAAAAGTTCGAGGTGCTTGTGCCGACGTTAAAAAAAATCAAGCACGTTTGTGTGAGCAGTGAGCCTCAGGTCTGTGGGACGGGATGGGAAGCTTCGTTACCTGGTAACGAAGCTTCCGTCCGCCTTGGCTTCCAATTAGAACCCTGGTGTATTTGCTAACCATTACCGTACTTCAAAATGCACTGGGAATTAATGCAAAGCTCGGAGTGCAGCGGACCCAATCTCGGCATCCAATCACTGGGACTCCTGGCCTAATCACCACCGCAGGAAGGATGTTACTCGTTATCCCTGGATGGTAAAGAGCCTGTTCCTCGTATCAGATAGCGGGGAGGGGTAGAGGTGGTTGTTTTGGTGGTGCTGATGGTGGTTGGTAATTATGGTGGTTGTGTTACTGGTAGGGATGTTTGTGGTTGTTGTTGTAGTTGTTTGTTTGTGTGTGTGTGTGTGTGTGTGTGTGTGCTCACCTATATGTACTCACATATATGTGGTTGCACGGGTCGAGTCATAGCTCCTGGCCCCGCCTCTTCACCGGTCGATACTAAGTTACTCTCTCCCTGCTCCATGTGCTTTATCATACCTCTTTTTAAAGCTATGTGTGTGTGTGTGTGTGTGTGTGTGTGTGTGTGTGTGTGTGTGTGTGTGTGTGTGTGTGTGTGTGTGTGTTTGTGTGTGTGTGTGCGCGTGTGTTAGGATACGGTAATAAAGGGCACTTGTCGATAGACAGCCTGTTTTTTGTGTGGGAGCACCCTCCCTCCCCCTCTTTCTCTCTATCTATCTATCTATCTCTCCCTCTCCCCTTCCTTTCCTCTCTCTCCCCTCATTACCTTCTCTCTCTTTCCCTCCTTATCTTCCCCTCTTTCGCCATTCTCCCCTTTTTCTCCAATTTCTGTCACTTCCCTCTCTCCCCTCCTTCTCTCCTCCTCCCTTCTTCCTTTTCTCTCCCCTTCCTCTCTCCTCCTACCTCTCCCTCTCTCCTTGCCCATTACCCTCTCTATCTCTCTCCCATCTCCTGAACATTTCTCAGAAATTCCCGTCAGAGCACCGCAGATGATGTATACCTAACGCTGGTGTACCTATTATTGTAAACTGATCCTCTCTTTAGTTTACCTCATTCCTAGTATATCTCTTTTTATCGTAATTGATTTTCACACAGTAACTTATCTCTTTAAGCTTTTAAGGTTTAAATAATAAGATATTGCAAGGATCCCAGTGGAAATAAGTCACTTTGTCTGACCTTTTTTTTGGGGGGTTATCGTAGGTAATTTACATTTTGTATAATAATTGTACTTATGTGCACCTTTGCTTATATAGTTACCTGCCGCAGGTGTACTGACGCTGCTGCTGCTGCTTGCTACTGGAGGCGGCGTAGTGTGGGCCGGAGTCTCTGTGGAGGAAGGCAGAGGCCCAGTCTTCCTGCATGAGCCTCCCTCCAGACTCCACTTCTCAAACACCACTGGGGCCCTCCTTCCCTGCTCCGCCCACGGCAACCCACCTCCGGTGAATACTATGTCCTATTTGTTATTACCTATTTGTAAAAACCTATTTGTAGGATCTTATTTTAAGTACCTATTTACTTCCAGTTGTAAGTACCCATTGGTACTATTGTTTACCAAATTGTAAGTATCTATATATTTGAAAGTACTTATTTGTAAGAAACTATTTTAAGAACATATTACCTATGTGTAAGCACTTATTTTAAGTACCTATTTATTACCTGTTATTAAGTACCTTTTCGTAAGAACCAATTTATGTACTTATTTGTAATTATTTGTAAGTGCGTATTTGTAAGCATCAATATGTAAGTCCAGAGCAGAGTTGTACCAGATGTCAAGTCATCAATATTTTTTCTGCTCTCCACTGGTCGAGACACTCGCTACATTCTCTTGTCAATCGTTCCACAGGTCAGTCAATCCACGCCAAGACAAATATCTGTTACGGATTCGGCTGCATTCTTTTTCTAATTTCCGATTCTGGCCTCACCATGACTCCAGGAATCGTAATAATGCGATTGGCAGCAAATCGCGGGTCAGATGGGAGTCGAACTAGGGGCAGGCAGGGTGAGTCGTGTTAGGCCGGCTTGGACCAGTGGTTAACATATTGTCTTGCGAGTTTTTCGACTCGCTTGCCGTCTGTTTCAATTCCATCCGTTTTGTGATTTGTCTTCTGTCGTTTTCCCTATTGTGTGGTGTGTGTGTGCTCACCTATATGTGGTTGTAAGGGTCGATTCAAAACTTCTGGCACTGTGAGTGAGTGAGTGTGTGTGTGTGTGTGTGTGTGTGTGCGTGTGTGTATGTATGTGTGGGCGCACTCACCTATACATGCTTCCAGGGGTCGAGTCACAGTCTGTCAGGTAGACGTAAACAGATATTTTTGAAAAAAAAAATTAACTCATATCAAGAGAAAATTATTTTCACATCAGTTTCCAAAGAAACACATTTTTGTCAAAGTTCACAAGTCAACTTAGCGACCTGACCAAACTTTTCAATTACAAACTTTTTATACTCTAATTTATCATTGCTTAAATTATCTTAGGTAATGTTAAATTCAATTAGCAGTATTAAACAGGGGAGTTGATGGGTAAGTCACGTGCAATACTTAGGTTTTTCTGTGTTTTAGAATATTGATCTTCAAAGATGATTTCTTTGAGGAAGATTCAAATTACTTTGGGATATTAATGTCCACTGATAAGATTAAATATAAGCTGTTTCAAAAGGATGACCCAATTTGAAATCGCTTTGCTTTGAAGTTAAGTCCATCTTTTTGAAACACCCTGTATATTGATTCAATTTGTCAATATTAAAGATACCAAAGTATTATACGAGTGTCTTGGTCATCAACTTGTTACCACAGAACATCATATAAAATTCGCTGAGTTATTGCAACACATAATTTACTATGAACTTGTTTGGAAAAACAATGATTGCTTCACGAGCCAAGCTCGCAGACTCTGCCTAAATAACCCGATACAATGACGACCGTGGTCTCTGCTCACTGTGTTATTAGATATTTCGCTATGAGCCACATACAACAATAACGACGCCATCTTCTGTAAAATGGCAGCGTTTCCAGGACCCAGTATAAGCTGGTCAGGTGCGTGTACACTCTTCATAATGTATATATTCTTTGCTACAGCCATAACACTTAACATTTTTTTTTTTGTATTCGGTGGTGCTGAACAAGAACATCTCTGTTTTGGGAGCAAATTTCCTCGTTCATTGTTTATACATGTGAAGATTGTTTGGATTTATTTTACGAAGGAATTTTGTGCCGGATATTTTTTTCAATATTTTGGGAATGTGTGTGCGTGCACACCCGTGTAGACGGGGAAAAGCACACACACTGCGTGGAATAGACAAGGTGGACAGAGACAAGATGTTCCAGAGATGGGACACAGAAACAAGGGGTCACAATTGGAAGCTGAAGACTCAGATGAGTCAAAGGGATGTTAGGAAGTATTTCTTCAGTCATAGAGTAGTTAGGAAGTGGAATAGTTTGGCAAGCGACGTAGTGGAGGCAGGAACTATACATAGTTTTAAGACGAGGCATGATAAAGCTCATGGAGCAGGGGGAGAGAGGACCTAGTAGCGGTCGGTGAAGAGGCGGGGTCAGGAGCTGAGTCTCGACCCCTGCAACCACAATTAGGTGAGTACACACACACACACGAGGGGCCAGGAGCTGAGTCTTGACCCCAGCAACCACAATAAGGTGAGTACACACACACACGAGGGGCCAGGAGCTGAGTCTTTACCCCAGCAACCACAATTAGGTGAGTACACACACACACATACAAACATACACACTTACACACATAAAATACTGAGCGGCATAGACAAGGTGGACAGAGACAGGATGTTCCAGAGATGGGACACAGAAACAAGAGGTCACAATTGGAAGTTGAAGACTCAGATGAATCAAAGGGATGTTAGGAAGTATTTCTTCAGTCATAGAATAGTTAGGCAGTGGAATAGCCTCGAAAGTGATGTAGTGGAGGCGGAAACAATACATAGTTTTAAGACGAGGTATGATAAAGCTCATGGAGCAGGGAGAGAGAGGACCTAGTAGCAATCAGTGAAGAGGCGGGGCCACGAGCTATGAATCGACCCCTGCAACCACAAATAGGTAATTACAAATAGGTGAGTACACACACACAGTGAAGAGGCGGGGGCAGGAGCTATGAATCGACTCCTGCAACCACAATTAGGTGAGTACAATTAAGCGAGGTACACTAGCCATCATGCGTAAGATACAGCCCTTAATTCCTCAGTAAGAGAACAATTAAGCACATACGAGTCAAATAACACACACCTGATTGCATACTTATCCTGTAATTCATTAAGTACCTGCCTGATGTACTTGTAATTAAGGCTATGCTAAATAACTACGTCATCTATCAGTTTTATTCCTTATAGTGGGAAAGAGGCGGGGGGTTTCGTGCTGGTAAAAGTTTCTGGACATAAGGAATGTGTTTCTAACCCGTCATATCCGAACTTTGTGTTTCTAACCCGATGTATCCGCACAGTGTGTTTCTGTCCTTCCTACTGAGACTATCCTCTGGCGACAATATTAATTAAGTCATGATACATCGCCGGCCGCTGTTTATGGAGCAGCCAGCCGGTGATCTGTTATCTCTTGTGGTGGTGTGTGGTGGTGGTGTGTATGGGTGGTGGTGGTTGTGGTGGTGTGGTGGTGGTGGTGGTGGTGGTGGTGGTGTGGGTGGTGGTGGTGTGTGTGGGTGGTGGTGGTGGTGGTGGTGGTGGTGGTGGTGGTGGTGTGTGGTGGTGGTGGTGGTGGTGGTGGTGGTGGTGTGGTGGTGGGGTGGGGGTGTGGTGGTGGTGGTTTGGGGGTGGTGGTGTGGTGGGTGTGGTGGTGGTGGTGGTGTGTGGTGGTGGTGGTGGGGTGGTGGGGGTGGTGGTGGTGGTGTGGTGGTGGTGGTGGTGGTGTGGTGGTGTGGTTGTGGGGGTTGGTGGTGGTGGGGTTGGTTGGTGGTGTGGTGGTGTGTGTAGTGGTGGTGTGGTGGTGGTGGTGGTGTGGTGGTGGTGGTGGTGGTGGTGGTGGTGGTTGTGGTGGGTGGTGGTGGTGGTTGTGTGTGGTGGTGGTGGTGGTGGTGGTGGTGTGTGTGGTGGTGTGGTAGGTGGTGGTGTGGGTGGTGGTGGTGGTGTGTGGTGGTGGTGGTGGTGATGGTGTGGTGGTGGTAGTGGTGGTGGTTAGTGGTGTTGTTGTAGTGGTGGTGATAGTGCGGTAGGTGTGTGGTGGTGGTATATTAGGTGTATGTAGTGATGTGTAGGTGGTGGTGATGTAGTGGTGTGTAGGGGTGATGTGTATGTAATTAGGTGGTGTGTTTTAGGGTAAGTGATTTAGTGGTGGTGGTAGTGGATGTGGAGATAGGGTTGATGGTAGTGGGCGAGTGTTTAGAAGTAAGATGTTATTGTTGTAGTGACAGTCCTTTAGGCGGTATGTGATATGTAGTGGAAGGTGTATAGTGTCGGGTGGAGGTAGTGTATGAGATGACTAGTATATGTTGAGTATTAAAGTAATAAGAGTAACGGAGGTATACAGCCTGAGATGTGGAGTAGTAAATAATAGCAGCAGTAATAACAGTACACACAGAGGAAACCTCTCAGTATTAATAGTATTATTATTATTATTATAATCAAGGGGAAGCGCTAAACCCGGAGGATTATACAGCGCCTGGGAGGGATGTGGAAGGCATTCAGGCTTAATTCGGGGAACTGGAGCACAGATCCAGTTCCCTAAATCAAGAGCCCCTCACCAACATCAAGGAACCTTCCTTGAGGGGTATTAATAGTAGCAGAAGGGTAAGTGGCAGCAGTATTTACTGTAGAATAGTAGTAGTAGTAGTAATATCAGCAGTAATAGAAGCAGCAGGTTTAAAATTCTCAGAAGGGCATTCGTAAGTTGAACCAACAACTTCACCTAATCACTTAGAACTAGTGAGATAAGGACAGTATTTCGTAAAATAATTTTGTGTAAGAAGTCGTCAGCGCAGCGTTAAGTGAACCTACTGTTACGACCTGCCTAGACGGTACATAACTGCCCTCAAAAGCCTAGTGGAAGACAACTGATGTAGGTCTTTTATCAAGAACCTTTTGTCTGTTGGACACCTTGAAGATCACGCACCTGAAGCACCCGGGAAAATACAGGAAAATACCTGTAAGACCTTGTCGTAGCACGGAAACAACACATCTTGGTATAAACCTTGGTAATAAATACCGACAAGTTGGTTTAGAAAGACACGTAAGCAAACACTATAACATATTTATTAGAAAACGTTTCGGTCCTGGGACCTTGATCACTTCTAACATACAGAGGTAGAAAGACATTATATATATAGGCGGAGAGTGAGATGTGACGCACGTGACCTGAGGAATGTCATAAGAACATAAGAATGGAGGAACACTGTAGAAGGCCTACTGGCCCATGCGAGGCAGGTCCTTATCAAAACAACCTCTGCCTATGATGAGGACCAGTAGACGATG